TTGGCAGATGTGAAGGGCCTTGATTTGTGAATTAGGTAGTCTCATTAGCTGGTGATGAGGTGGCTTGCCAAACACAGATCCCAAGTGCCTTCCCAATTTTGGGGTACTATTTGGAGCTCGATAGTTTTCTCATGAATCACACAGCTGCCAAGAAGGAAGTTATTCTCTGGTTCCTGGACCCTTCAGTAGAGGAACAATTACCATGGAAAGTTCCTAGGGTGAAGACAGGACTGCTCTAACACTTTAACAATTAATCAGTAATGGTTCTATTATCTTCATTTGCAAATGAAAAAACTGAGGGGTTAGGGGTGGGGGGAGGGGTCTCAAATAAAATTGGCATAACTATGATTTGGACCCAGGCATTGTGGTGGTAGAGTCTATATTCTTAACCCTGCCACTAATCCATCTTTTTAAATTACTAATGAGGAGGAAAAGGATGTTGGGGGGTGGGGGGATGAGGAGAGGAACTAGGGAAAGAAATACACAGGCCAGAGTCTCTAGAGCCTATGAATACCACCAGGTAGTTCAACAGGCAGCTTCTGGAGACCCAACTATGTATAGGGCCAGGCACTCCTGAGCCATAGTCTGCTCCTGCCTGGGAAGAGGAGTGGAGAAGTTGAACATACACAGGTTACTCCTATATAATGTGAAAACACTTAAACAGGCAAGTCCATTGGTGCAGGGCCGAATTCCTGTGTTCCCAAGCACATACTTAACTGGAAAGTTACTGAGTTCCAGTTAAGGCACAGGCGATTCAGTCACACACCACATGCCCGTGGATTTCATTGTTATTCCTCTTTCATAAAATTAACCTCGTTTTTGTAAGACTGTTCTGTAAAGTGAAATTTAAACGAATTATTAGGTTTGGCTGGTCTCTATATTCCACCAGTAAAATATTTTAACTTTTGCTATAAGGTTGCACGCCTTCACCGTAGAGTGGTTGGAAAAGATACTCCATTAAAATCTGCAGAATGAATACTAATCTCCAATGTGAATCAGTTCATTAAATCGCCTAATGGCAGCCATGGAAAAGTAAAAGGATTTATAAAGCGTTTGCTCCTGAAACGAACGACAAGCAAGTGCTTTGCAAGATACCAAAGAAGTTAGTCCCTAGGGAATTCCACAAGGGCAGCGCCTTCAGGGCGTTCCCAGAGGTGCCTGCTCCCTGGACCCCAGCCGAGTGGGGGGGGCAGGCTCGAGGTGGGCAGGGGCGCGTCCCTCAGGGTGGGCTGTCCCCTCCACGCGCGCCCTCTCCCCCCGGTTGCGGCTGGGAAGAGCACCCGGGACCCAAATCCAGCGGTTTGCAGAAGTCCGGGATCCGGGATGCCCCTGTGAGCTCACACAGTGTGGCGAATGTGAGGCGCTCAAGAAACAAAGCGAGTCGGGGAGGGGGTTCGGGGGAGGAAGGGGTGGCGCGACGCCGAGCTCTCCAACTGCTCTAAGCGGGGAGCCTCCCGCGAACCGCCCCCTCCTCACGCCCCCCCGCCCGCCCCAGCCCGGCGCGGGAAGGGCACGCGCGTGGTGGCGCCCCATTCCCTTAGCCAGCCCCGGGGCGCACACAAAGCCAGCGCAGTTCCCCTTCCTTTGGGGCGGGGATTTGAGAAACCCCACGCCAAGGGAGCCCCCTCGCCCCCCTGGCCCTTGGGGTTCTCAGAGTTGGGACTGGTCTCAGGCCTGCTGCACCGGAGGCTCAGACTTTTTTTGGGGGGTGGGGTGGGGTAAGATGGCAGGTCCGGGAAACAAAGGAAACTTGGGCTTGGCTTCTCGAGCGGCGTGTGCGGCTGGCGAGTTCGCCCCGGGTCCCGCGGGGAGCCGCCGGGCGCCCGTGCCAGCCTGCGCTGCCCGCTCGGGTAACACAAAGCTCCGCGCCAGGAGCGGGCGGCGCCCGGCCGCCCACCTGCCGCGGCGGGGCGGCCCTGGGGTCTCCCGGGCGGCAGAGGCCGGGGCGGCCGCGGAGCAAGGGGGCGCTGGGGAGCCGCGCGGGCGCGGGGGAGGCGGGGGGGAGCGCGGGTGGGCGGCGTCACGTCACGGCTATTGTGGCTGTCCGGGTATATAAGTCCCGCCAGCGCGCCGTGCTCCCCACTTTGCCAGCGCCTGCCGGGAGCCTTCGGTCCTCCGCGCACCCTGCACCCAGCGAGAAGCGCCGCGCGCCGACGGAGCGGACATGGGTAGAGCCATGGTAGCCAGGCTGGGGCTGGGGCTGCTGCTTCTGGCACTGCTCCTCCCCACGCAGGTGAGGCCCTGGCGCCCGGCGAGGCTCGGGGGCCGCGTCCCAAGGGGGATAGGGGGAGCTGCTCTCGGGGGATGGGCCTGAGTGTCCCCCTCGGACCGTGGACTGGGACTCGAAGAAAGAATCCAGCGTGATCTGACCGGGGCCGGGACGCTGTGAATTGCACTTTCGCTGCGTGCGGGCTGCCCCCGACCCGCGCCCCGCTGCGGGAACAATGTAGTCCGCGCGCGCCGGCGAGGACCCTGCCCCGCCCTAGACTCCTCGGCCGCCTCCAGGCTGCCGGGCGCGCACCCCTTGCTTTCACCCTGAGGTTCGAGGGAAGACACCGTGCGCTTCCCACCTCGCGGAGCCTCCGGGGACCTCGAGCTCTTCGGGGAGTGGAGGTCGTTCTTGGTTACCCTGAGCGTCCCTCTTCCCCTAGGTGTGTCTCAGCGTCCCCAACGCAACACACAAAGAGGGTCTCCGGAGGGGGGGCGTGAGGGGTCGCCACCTTTGCCCATTCTGCACTCGGAGCTGGTTCTGGAGATCTCTAGGAAGCCCCGGCTGTCTGGCCCTATTCACCCAGCCCCGGGCGGTTCAGGGCTGAAGCCTGGGCGGAGACCCCATCCTGGCCCTGTGCTCCCTTGGGTGCGACCTCGCAGGTCTCCCTCTTACGACGGAGGCCGGTGTTTGCCCAGATCTGCCAACTCCAGGCAGCCGGCGGGTGGGACGTTTCTATTTGGAGTCGGGCTTTGTCCCGGTCCCCACCGCCCCCCCATCCCCACCCCCACCCCCAGATCCTCCATCCTGGGCACTGATCTTGCCCCGGCGGCGGGTACCAGGAATTGCCTTGCTGGGGGGGCGGGGGGTATGTTGCGGTCGCGAGGGAGACCAGGACTGAGCCTGGGGGGTGGGGGTGGACTGGGATGGAATGGTGGGGGGTGGAGACGGGAACAAGAAAAGGGGCATTTCTTTCTCTAAGCTCGGGCTTGCAAAAGGCAGGCGTGGCGCAGTCGGTGGCGCTCCACCACCTTCAGCTGGGGCTTTCGAAGGAGTGTCTCCTGGGCTGATCTCCCGGAAAGTTGGGTGCACGGGATCTTGGTCCCTAGACACGCAGTCGCCGGGCTCACCTGGGAGCGCGGCCGAGAGTGCAGCGATCCTAGCCCGCCCGCTCGCGGGCCGGGGAACTGAACCCTATTGTTGTCTTGAGGGCTGCGCTGGGAGCCCTCGCTGCTCCCCGGTGGGGGAGGGGCGCGGCCGCGGAAGCTTACTGGTCTACCCCCACCACCACCCCCCCCCCCCCGTGCCCGTATTCTAGGAGGACGGTCTTAGTTAAGTAAATAAATTTAGTTTGTTAGGGCAATTTTTGTTTCATGTCAACACGGTATCAACATGAGTTCGTCAGTATTTGGTTGTAGAGGAACCCTAGTTTGGTGCACTGGACTCCATTAAAAGTCACCCCTTGCTCTAATGCTCTTTTTATGAATAAGAATAGATTACCTTCAAGAATCTCAAACTAGCTCTTGCCCCTAAACAGAGGCGGCCTGTTCTGAATAATTTCCCATGTTGTTAAGGCTTTCCTTTTGGTGGGAGTGTTATTTCCTAGCGGGACAAGCAGAATCTTGCTCACAGTAGGTCCCTGATAAATGCAATTGGCTTGATCAAGATTTTTTTTAACACTAGTCTAATTTGGATAGGATTTTGTACGCCTCTACAGTAAATGTTTGCTTAGGCACCTTAAGGGTTTTGAGACAAAAGGAACTGCCGCTGATGTATAACAGTTTTATCTTTGGATTAATAGGCAGCCAAATGTTCGCGTGGCCCAGACCTGCTTGGTGCCACGTCCTCAGGCCCGCCTGTAATCAGAACCCTCGTAAACCCTCCCGGCAGGGAAAACTGAAATCCCCCGTCTGCCTTTGTTCGTGACAAAGGAGAGATTATCACGTGCCCACTGGACTGTGCTTTTTGTGACTTGAAAAATCAGTGTGGTGCATGATGCCACTCTCAGGTGCTGGAACACGGGGGAAACTTTGGTTCTTGGTCACAGGGCTGAGCTTAGTGACCAGACAGAGAGGCTTGCTGCTTGAGAAAGCCTCACATGAAACCCTCTTGGTGTCTTTTGTGAAGTTGTTCCGACTTCACTTGCTTCCAGTGAAGTCATTATGCCTTTAGGCAAAGGCTTGTACTTTTTCTCAGTTTAAAACAAAAAACTCTGGCCATTTTGAAAAGATTTATGTGTAATTTGAAGGGAGCGAGTAAGACATCCCGAGGCCCTGTAAGTTAGAACTAGACCATTAAATGGGTGTGGGGAAATTTACCTAGCAAATCTAGGATGATGGTGACTCAATTCTAGTACCATAAGTCTCAGACTTCACTGTATTGTAAAATCCAAATTGTGTGTGCAACTTTAAAGTCTCCCCTTTCTTGGGAAAATAGAAGAAACCTTTTTTTAAATGTCAGTCAAGCTAGTCACAGAAACTAGTAGTTTGGTCCTTTATTCCTTATAAAGAATTTTTTTTAAGTCATGTTCTTTGGGAGTTATATAGTTTATTGCAGATTATTTTTGGTTTTGGTTGTTGCACTTTGCAGGCATTAGGCATCTCTAAGTAGTTTTGAAACTAAAGAGAATGATCTTGGTGGGACTAAGAATTCAGAATTTAATGATGTGGGTAAGGGAATAATGGAAAAAACAATCATTTAAGAATATGTTCTCTATATTGTATATTAAGTATATGTGAAGGCAATTGTGACATGTGGAATATTTATCAGTGATACTTTTTATATATTTTAGATTTATTCACAGTCTACAACTTCAACTTCTTCTGTAGTAACTCCTACAAGTAATGCTACCCAGTCTACCTTGACAGCCCCAAATCCAACTAATGGCACCACGGCAAGTGACGGTGCCCTGAAGTCCACAGCCAGTCTCTTCGTGATCTTGTTCTCCCTCCTGCATCTCTACTGTTAAAGAGACTCAAACCAAGAAACATCTGCACTTGCCCATCTTTCAAACCCAATGCAAATGGCGTCTAGACAGCCAATGTGGCAAGGAAAACTCTTCTTCATTGATTCTGCTAATTCCACACCTTATCAATAATTGACACAGAAAATGTTGAGAATCCCAAATTTGATTGGTTTGAAGAGCATGTGAAGGGTCTGACTAGCTGATGAATGCCAATATTAACTCTGCTGGAGTTTCCCGTACAAGATGAAGAAACACAACCAAAATTTGTTGAGATGCTTTCCTTAATTATGGTTTCAGAAATATGGAATATAAAACTCTTATCTTGAAATTAAGAATAGATATCTAGAGATAAAGGATGGGATGTAGAACAGAGATTCAGTTTTCATTTGGTTTGTTCAATCTATAAAGTCATAAAGAAGTTAGGTAATATACAAAGTTTCAGTGATTCTATTTATGTGTACATTAGAGGGATCTTCCAGGTATAAATCCTTAATTGTTTCTGCAGTACTGATTTAATGACAACATGCTCTAGATAAGCTTTTACATTGTAAACTATCACCGTGGTCTTGGGAACTGAACTCTTTTCTCTACAGCTTTGTATTTGACATTCCATTTGACTTTTTATATAGGAATTGACATGTACCAGGGCAATGATGGATTGGAATCTACCCAACTCCAGCCATAATTAGTAAATTTTGCTTATGTATTTAAATCACCTGTTCCTATTCAACAGGAGCGCCAGATTCATTTAGCTAAACTGATTCCAAATAGTAGAAGTACATTGACCTTAACTAATGTCAAATGCTTTTTTTAAAAAATTTTTAAAAATGATCTGTTTGAAGGTAAATTGACAAATCTTGAAATTAAAAAGGCATAAGTTAAATCAGATGTTTGGAAAGTGAAGACTGGAAGCTAATCTGCATTAAATTCAGAAAAATTTTTATACTTTTTTGTAAATACTTTTTTTTAAAGCTATGAATCAGAATAGTCACATTTGGAACCCTTTCTGTTATCCGTCAATATTTTTAGATAGTTAGAACCTGGTCCTAAACCCAAAGTGGGCTTGATTTTGAAAAGTAGTTCTTTACCACAATTGTTCCAATGCACAGAAACGTTTTTAAAAATAGACATTTCTACACTTTTGTTCGCATGGTCACACACTGATGCTTACATGTTCCGGTATCTAATATGGCCACAGTAGTCTTGAAAAACAAAGTCACTTTTTCCATCTTTAAAAACTCACATGGGAACAACTTTATCCAACAAATCTCAAGCTACTGTGTGTGTGAATGAACATTCCCTTTTGATTCATACCTGAATGCTGTACATCTATTTTGGACTGTATATTGTGTTTGTGTATTTATGCTTTGATTCATAGTAACGTCTCATGTTATGGAATTGATTTGCATTGAACACAAACTGTAAATAAAAAGAAATGACTGAAAGCAATGGGTCACATTTTATGTTTTTCTGATGCAAGGAATGCTTTGTGGACTATCATAGTTGTATGAATCTATTTAAACCATCAGGGATATATCTCAATATTTTTCTGTTCACCAAAACATTAAAATAAAGCTATTTTCTATTATCAACTAGCATTTTGACTAAGAAATCTGAAAGCTAACATCTTTGATCATATAAGGGATTGCCCCCTGTTTACTCAACTGTCAAATACCAGCTATATGCCAGGATACTGATGATCGAATGTTCTACTTGCTGGACAAGTCCTTTCACTTCAGTTGAGAGGGAATAGGCGAATGCTGTCAAGGAGGACTGGAAGGAAACAGACCAATGTGACACGTCATGGCCGTGGAGTGAGTGGTTCATGATGGTCTTGGAAATTAGAACTGAGATGGAGGATCTAGAGGGAAATTACTGGTAGAGCAAACACTGTGCACTAAGTTCCATTGGCACTGATTTCATATCTGTACCTTATTGTCCACAAGATACTGCAGTTTCCCAAACTGTTAATCCTTTCCATTCTTTTCATAGTCATGAATTCCTTTCTTTAGCCCTTCAAGTACCTTTATGGACTCCTAGCTGTTAACAATTTTACTACAGTTCAGGAAATGCCAGAAAAGGCAGGCTGGCATTTGGGAACAAGTGGAAGCTGCAGCCTGCAAGTCAAATACTGAGGAACCTCAGTTGTGCGCTTAAGATCTTTTAATTTATGGAGTCCGGCCCACCTAGATTATCTAGGGTAATCTTAGAGCCAATGGATTATCGACAGTATTTACAAAATATTTAATAGTAACACTTAGTGTTTGGTTGAATAACTGGGGACTAGTCACATTGATGCCTAAGTTAATGGTTAAACAGTCTGGCCCTTGTCAACTCAGCTTCCATATACATACCTGATCTTTGAACAACGCTTAATCTTCAAAGTAGGCTCATACTTCTATCTACTGTGATAGAAAAATCCACAATGTAAATGCCGTGATCCAAAGTTAACCATTATTAGTTAAGGGAATAACTAATATTAGATAAGGGAATGAAAGGGGAGAAAAATACTTGCTTTGTATGTATGCAAATATAAGAACTATAGCTATTACAGCCCTCATATCTAGAATTATACGTGTGTCTCTAGCTGGCATTCATAGCTACCTTCTTCCATTATCCAGTCTATCTTTCTCTTCCCTCAGCAAGTACCTCAGCTGATCGTGATTCTTAGCCTGGAGTGGGAATCCAAACAGTTGCCTGAATTTGATGGTAGTTTTCTACTGATATTAATCACTGTAATGGCAATAGTAAGACAGTCTTAGAGGGGTCCTGTATTCCAGACATCCTCTTTCTTAACCACCATTGTGTAGCAACAATCCAATTTCCCCTTGGTAGTCAGGATTAATCATTCCAGCTAGTGGAATAACTCCCTGCTTTGTTGATTCAGGGGACCTGAGGAACCCGGGGTTCAGATACAGATTTCAAATTAGAGTTCAATGGATTCATTGTACTATCTCCTAGTGGGATCACTGGGTCTTGGAACCAAGACCAGCAGAACATAAGGTCTCGGGGATAGTAAAAATTTTGCTAATGAATCACAGTTGGGGGTAATACAGACATTATTGAGAATAATGCCACTTTCATCTTTATCTCTTGATTCCTGGACCTGGAAATTCTGGATATGTGAGAAATAGGAACATACTTAGAACACATTACATTCTGGAGTTCAGTGCCCTAACCCGGCAAGTTATTGCCAGATATCTGGACTATGATTTAAAGTTTCAAAACAGTCTATTAAGTCAGTTATTTCAGGACATGGTAAGGCCAGGGAACTCTATGGGCACGGGCCCATTGCCACATGTCATTGCCTGAGTTTCTGATTAGAAGCAACGTTGTGAAACAGCATGATGGTGCATGGGTAGGATATTTTGTGAGGCCTCCCTGGTAGCTCAGGGGTTAAAGACACAGTATTATCAAGCTATCGCCAGTCAATGCAGCAGGAGTTAAATTCCCAGCTGGCCAGGGAGATAACTATCCACATGGTGCAGCAGACCTCTTCTGTCTCCCCCGCTGCTCCCCTCAACAGTATATTTCAGTAGATCTGCCTGTTTTGCTCCCCATTCTTTCTGGTGAATCCTCTCACCCTCCACACCTCTGGCTTGCACCCCGGTTCTTGTGTGCATAAATAAATAAATCTTTAAAAAAAAAAAATACTTTGTAAGTCTTCACATGGCAGTTTTGCCAGAAGCATTGCATACAGGGAAGGCAAATCCATATCCAGAGTAAATGTCTTGAGGAGACACTTACATAATAAAATGCTACCCTTTCCATGATGGAAGTGTTCCAATGTAATCAACATTCCACCTTGAAGATCACTGTGAGGAATGGTGTCCAATAGGGAACTTAGTGTTGATTTTTGCTGCAATAGAATTACTCAGCAATGTCTGTTCAATCTTAATGAGTACAAATCCAGGTTGCTGCATCCATGCATAACCTCCACCCTTGCCAAATAAAGTGGGACCATTTTGTTCATGAACCCACTGGGTGATGACTGGGATGACTAGGAAAAGAAGCTAATGGGTATGCACAGGGCCATCTTATCCACTTGGTTATGAATCTCCTCTGCTGAGGTCCTTTTAGATGAACATCTGCATGGGACACAAATATCTTGATTGTTGCCCATTCTGATAGGTCTGTCCATATAGTTGTCCCTCAGCCTTCTCTGTCACCAGTTTCCCAATCATTTCCTTCTGAATCCATTGAGCCAAACTTGATCACAGGCTCATCAATTGATACTGATTTATACCTATGGCCATTTCTCCTTCCAAGCAAAATGAGCAACCAGGTGTGCTGTTTGTAACTTCCCATTGGGAGTATTTCACTTCACCACTGTTATTCAGTGTAGCTGTCCATTTTGGAATGGTACCTGCATATTGTGTAGAACCTTCTTTAATCCAGACTCATGCTTTCTCTTTCTTAATCAGCAGGTTGTAGGGCACTCCCCACAGAATCATAGGTGCAGGCTGGGAGAGAGATGATAACTTTGCAGGAACAATGGCCATTGTGTCACTTCCTTAAGTAATCTTCAGGGCCTGCTTGAGTCCCGACTCATACACACTGTTTTCTTTTGACAATGGAGTGCTGCTGTGCACATCCAATTTTATGGCTTGTTGGGTGAGACAACACCCAGTTCTTGATGGGCAGCCAGGTTTCATGGTTAAGCATTTAGTTTCTGCTAAAGTAAGTCCAGAAATAAATCAAAGCCTGTTTTTCTTTTCTTTTCTTTTTCTTTTTTTTTTTAAGATTTATTTATTGGGCCTCCCCGGTGGCTCAGCGGTTGAGTGCTGGGTTGCGAAGCTGCCCGCGGCCTCTGCGGCGCCGGTTCGATCCCCGGCTGCTCCCCAGCCACCGGAGGAGGGTCCCACATGGCGCGCAGACCTCTCCTGCCGCCCGCTGCTCCCCTCAGCAGTGTACTTCGGTCCTTCTGCCTGTTCTTCTCCCCGCTCTGGCTCTGATGAATTCTCTCACCCTTCTGCGCTTCTGACTGTACCCAGTGCATGTATAAACAAAACAAACAAACAAGCAAACAAATGAATAAATAAATAAAAACATGCCTCTATTAAAAAAAATAAAATAAAATAAAGATTTATTTATTCAAGCACTGGGTACAGTCAGAAGCGTGGGAGGGTGAGAGAATTCACCAGAGCCAGAGCGGGGAACAGAACAGGCAGACTGTTGAAATACACTGCTGAGAGGAGCAGAGGGCACGGCAGGAGAGATCTGTGCGCCATGTGGGACCCTCGCCGGTGGAGGCCGGGGATCGAACCTGCGCTGCAGAGGCTGTGGACAGCTTCGCAGCTCCGCGCTCAACCGCTGTGCCACCAGGGGAGGCCCCAAAGCCTGTTTTTCAAGAGAGTATCACAGTCTGCAGGGAGGAAGAGTTTTTCTCTAAAACCCTAAAACTGTCCATCACCAACTCTTGATATTCTATACATTTATAGAAAAGCAGCCAAAAATTTGGGTATATCTTTTAAAAAGTAATATCAGTACTCATGGAAGAGGAATATAATTGCTTTTCAACTATTTGAAAAGGGCTTTAAGCTAGTCTGGGCTATTTATCGGCAAAATGCTCAAAATTCTATTTTAGGGTTATATTTTAAATAGCCACACTTAAATACTAGTCATAATTTATGGCTAGATTAAGTAATGAGTAGCTGTTGTATGAGTGTGTCTCTTGAACTAAGATTAGCCTTAGTAGATAAAAACAGTTTGGAGACCAGCAGACAGTTAAGGCATTACTCCCTAAAGTGAAGATGAAAAAAATTTATTCAGAACTAAACATACTCTAACCCATGCTCCTTCCTACCCCATACTGCTACCACTGCCCTTAAAATAGAACTTAAATATTTAGATAGCTGAGAAGGATGTGTGTTTTTCATTTCTCATAGACCTCATTTGGATTGACTTAGTTATTTTTTAATTCTTGCTATATAAAGAGAGTATATTTTTTTCTAATTTTGCTAGGATGGCACTTTTTAGAGACAACAAACTCACCATCACGATTGCTTTTCAGTTTCTCTTAAATTACATCTCATTTCTAAAATCAAGGTGTTTCTAGGAAACATTAGGAAGTTTCCAGGTTTATATTTTTGCTAAGGAATATCTCTGGAAGCCCAAAGGGTCTAAAGTGGTTTAACTGTCTTTCCTCTAAACAACTGGTAGATGCTAAAGTTTATGGACACTTAACATGTCTAAAGCTGAACTCATTACCTTCTTTCCATAGACCTGCTACTTCTCCATTCAGAGCAAGTCTCTCATCACAGCCCGGGGAGCCAACTTCCTCTTCCCCATCTCCTAGCAGCTACAGAATTCTGTCACTTTTAAGTCAGATGTCTAGGTATCTCACCTCCCCCACCTCTTCCCTCCCTCTAACTCGTATCATCTGTTGAAGTTCTGAATCTCTGTCTCCAGTCTTCCCACCCTGTGGCTATTCTATAAAATGTACATGTCATCATTTTGATCTTTAAAAGTTTAACTGGTTACCCTTTGCCTATCGTAGTAAAATAAAACCATCTTCCTCCTCCCCCAACTCACAGTCCATAAGATTTCTCACATTTTGACCCCCAGTCCAACTTTTTAGTCTCATTTCTAAGCACACTGGATTGCTCATCATTCTCTGAATCACAATGGTGTTTTCATGCCTCTACAACTTTGAAGGCATCCACTCATCCAATTCGGTGTAGTGCTTAAAGGCTTGGATATAACAGCAGGGCTGCTTTAGTCTGATTCCCCACCCAGCTACAACTAGCTGATAGATCTTAGGCAATCACACAAATTCTCTGTAGCCCAAGAGTCTTGACTGGAAGAGTGTCTGATAGTGCTGTTATCTCACAAGATTGTCTGGAGAATTAAATGAGTTAATATGCAAAGTATTAAGACAGTCTGGCACATTGCAAGAATTTGATAAACATTGGCTAGAATGATT